TTCCGCAAGTGTAGGCCAGTGCGTCGCCATGTTGGACATAAGAAAAATAAAAAATATTTTTTTAGTTTCCTATATATGTACAATAATGTCCTCTAAGCAGATTTTAAATAAAGTTATCCATTTACCCACAAAAAAATGCCAAACTTAAGGTATCATTTTAAAACCTCAGGGGTGGTGAGACCCCTTAAGAAGGAAAAGATTGTACTCACTGCGGGAAATGCAAGTCCAAACATCGCGGCGCATGTTAACGCGCTCATGCCGCTATAATCGGAAATAACTCCAGCTGCTATAGCGCCTGCTATACCACCCACGTCGAACAGAGTCGACAGATCCGCGCTCATAGTTGCGCCGTATGTAGCTGCAAAAAAAAAATTCTTATTGAAACGAGATTACTTCACTAGGATTAATATGCGGTCGCGAATACCAACTTGAAGCCGCGATGTACAATGGTAACCAGTAGAGGAATGTATAACTAACGAGCTTCGCGAAGAACAGCGACAAGGAATATTCGATGACACCCGGTATCTTTATGGCTCCTATGAAGTCGATCGCGCTATTATGAGATGTATCGTGATCACGTCGATGTCCAGGCAGCATCGGGCTGGTCTCCGAGCGTCCACTTGCCACATTCTTTTAAACACAAATTACATTGAATATTAGTATTAATAGCAATAACTAGACACGTTAAGAAGAAGACAGTTGTGATTTATTAAAAATTTTATAGTAATATTTATAAGTAATTTTAGTTTATAGCAATTTTATAGTATTGCTGCTCAGCATATTTTTGCGTGGTTTAAAAATTATGTGAAGTAAATTAAGGGTGAAGTAAATTAAAATTATATACACTTGCAGCGCGAAAGATGACATTTTCACGATTTTTTTTTCGACAGCAAAATAAAAATTTATTTAAAAACTATTAATGGTATTATTTAGTACATGTTTTGGAGTACGTCAAATTTTTTTTGTTAAAAAATATTTAAAAATGGCGGAACTGCAGCTGTTGCCCTGGAGTGCCTAGTTTTCAGCGGTGGACAAGATTACTCGAGAACGGATCATCTGAAATCAAAATGTAAAAAGATCTCGTTAATATATTGTATTATCTAGTAGATGAACGAAGGATTTGTCAAAATTTCAATTATTAAAAAAATGGTAACGGTTTAAACAAAAAGTTCATTTTTCAAAATGTTAAATTTTCGAGTTTTTTGCCGTAAAAAAAAAGTTTTTGATTAAACTGAAAATCCTTCGTTCATCTACTAGATAACACAATATACTAACGAAATCTTTTTACATTTTCATTTCAGATGATCCGTTCTCGAGTAATCTTGTCCACCGCTGAAAACTAGGCGCTGCAGGGCAACAGCTGCAGTTCCGCCATTTTAAAATATTTTTTAACAAACAAATTTGACATGTACTCCAAAACATGAACTAAATGATACCATTAATAGTTTTTAAATAAATTTTTATTTTGCTGTCGAAAAAAAATCGTGAAAATGTCGTCATCTTTCGCGCTGCAAGTGTATATAACCCCTTAAACGTGATGTGTGAACATTACATAAATGTTATTTAATGAAAAGCAAATTTGTGCATGTGCGTGCGTGCGTGCATGCGTGCGTGCGTGCGTGCGTGCGTGCGTGCGTGCGTGCGTGCGTGCGTGCGTGCGTG